CTCGGTCTGATGGGAAGGATCTAATGATACCAAAATTGGTCACATATGAGTTAAATCAAGCCTCGATTAAGCAATTAAATAATTTATGATAGTGTTTTGAACAATGTTGGATGGTGAAATGGATTATGAATTTAACAAGCTTATTGTCAAATCGAGCATCTCGAGAAGACGAGTACAACAAGCCCAAGATTTGTTCAATTCCGATAATATTAAAACACTCAACTGTCCATCAAATGTTATTTGATCAAGAGAATTTCTCTGGGTCATCCGAGCAGAGTGTTTCAGATCTCATTTTATTTGGAATATTGACTCAATAAATAAAACCATATCCCTCTCTTGAGAGAGGGATAAGATCTTGAGTAAAAGAAAAACCAGAGCTCGAAGAAGTAGGAGCTGAAGTCCATAACCATGCACCGACAATCTAGCAAACACCTTTGCTTCGGTAGTCAATTGCAGCTTGCTAGCCGTCGCCAACCAATGTTGGTCTCTTGATCCTGCAGCCACTAAGCACTGTCGAACACAACTCCACGAGCGTCGTCACCCGCTCTTGATGACAAAGCAATGTGCGAAGGAACAACCAACGCCGCCAAGTCTAGAAGCAACCCAAGACAAAAATCATCCAAAATGTCGTGCTGACCCCGAAGATGGCGTACTAGAGCTCCATCTCATTGCAACAACGAACTCTTCCGCACACCGATGTTATAACTCGAAAAACCGTACAATTCTTTTCCGCATGTAGGATAAGGACTTGTACGTAAAATCTCAAACTTATAGTATAACATTTCAACTGGGCAGTAAACTTTAATTTTTTTCCTTTCCAAATAAATTTCTTTACAGCCGTGAATTTTCTAGCACGCATCACTCGCAGTTATGAAAATTTCAGAATGTATTTAAAAAATTTTGAATTTATTTTTAGTTGATATTTAAAAGAATAGTTTGATAAAAAATATTTGATATAATAATCCGACTTGTACCTCCAAAAAAAAACAAACAAACAAACATTCAGTAAAATTATTAATGAGAATCTTAAAGTACAATTATGTGTGAATAAGTTAACATCAGTGTAAAATTAAAAATAATTTTATATTGCACAACGCAGCTAAATAAAAAGCATATTTTTGCTAGGAACATTTACATAAATGCCACGGAATTCATATATATTAACGTATCTAGCACCTAAATTTAACTTTTGTCCGTCTTATTTATGCAAAAAAAAAAAATGTAATTTAATTTTTTTTAAGTTAAAAATGATGACATTTTTCGATGTGCTAATTGTAATTTTTATTCTTCTAATTAGATAAAGAGTTAAATGAAAATATGAGAAAGTCGTCTTAGATGGTTTGGTCACATTAAACGTCGACCATCTGATGATCCGATTAGGAGAGTAGATGTTTTAGATTCGACTTGTGTTAAGAAAGACAGAGGTAGACCTAGGAAGACTTGGGCTTATTATATTAAAAATGATCTTAATTTACTAGAATTAAATGAAAATATGACACTAAATAGGACGCAATGGAGAAAAGGGATTCATGTAGCCAACCCCACTTAGTGGGATTAAGGCTTTGTTGTTGTTGTTGTAATTAGATAAAGAGTTAAAGATAATTCTCCTAAGATAAAAATGCCAGTCCTAATTGTAATTTCGTAACGAATATTTGAATAAAAAAAATCAAATTAATGATCACATATTGTGTAGTAGGTCGAACTTGGCTTCATCGAACTATAAGTTGTTCATGCTCATTTCTTTACTCAAACCAAACTTTCACATAAATGTTCTTGCTAGGCTTATTTCATTTTCTTAATGATAATATCTGAATTATCCTTGATTTATTTATTTTAATTAGAGAGAGAGAGAGAGAGAATCTCATAACACTAAACATTACTATTAGCTTGTGGCACTAACAGTAGGCTAATATGTTCAAATAAAATTATCATTAGAACTGAGAGAGAGATGGAGAAGTGTTGAGGCGCCTCATCAGAAACGACATCGATGTGTTCGATATCCGGTTAGTTGAGCTAACTCTCGAGCCAATGAGCCTAACCTTGAGAAGCTCGAGCTCGAGCATTTGCCACTCGATAAACTCAACACATAAACTTGTTAACAAGTCTAACACTAACCTACCGAGATCCACTCACTTGCATGCAACCCTAACATAACAACACCCACAATGGACTGCTCCACATGAACAACCGCTGACACATGCCAACTCACAACAATAAACAAACACGTTACTGTGACACACATTTAATGTACAATATTAACTCCAAACAATCAAGTGTGGAAAAAATATTCCATACGGACGGTTGCATGCGGTGTCTGATCCGGACCGTAAATCAGGTGATCTACGGTCAGGATGTATTTCGGTGGGCCCCACCTAAATTTTTTTTTATTAAAAAAAAAACTGAAATATATCCTCTACGGTCAAGATCGGACACCGCATGCAGACGCAATAATTTCTCCAGATTGAATAAAATATTTTCAAAGTTGAATAAAATGTTTAATATTTTATTAGGTTGAAGATCCCAACCAGCTTTGTCGATCGCATCTAAGACCACTATTATCCTTTAAGTCAAAGTTAGCATTAAATTATCAGACTATGACATTAAATAAAGTTATGTTAGAATATTTCTTTATTTATCTATTTATTAGAATGGGTTTATTTTTATGGCATACGTATATGATTCATTTCTAATAAGATTAAATTACTAAAGAATATAATTGGACTGTTCATATAATTTATTAGATATTACAATTATAATTTTAGATATTCACAACAACAACAACAATACCTTAATCCCACTACGTGGAGTCGGCTAAATGAATTCTTTTTCTCCATTGCGTTCTATTTAGTGTCATATTTTCATTTAGATGTAATAATTTTAGATAATTTTTTATACAATAAGCCCAAAGTCTTCATAGGTTTACCTCTACTCTTCTTAACATAAGTCGAATCTAAAACATCTACTCCTTTAATCGGATCATCAGACTGTCGATGTTTAATGCGACCAACCCATCTAAAGACTATTTTCTCTAATTTTATCCGTCACAGGAGCTGCACCAACCTGATCACGAATTTATTCATTTCACATTTTGTCTATAAGTGCAAAGCCACTCATCCACCTAATCATTCTCATCTCGAAAAAAATCATGACATAAATCCCTTTGATCAATTTTAGATATTTACAATTAATACTATTTAGTGTCACAATCATACTGATGAATGCGTAATATTTTCACTCATATAAATACATGTATTTGTAATTATGTTGTGCATTATTCTCTCCTTGATCTCTTCTATTTTCTCTCTGCTGTCTGGGTATTCGATTTGCTGTTCAAGAAGGCTCCAAGTTTTTCAAATCCTACATGAGCTTACATTTTCTTACAACGGACGACTAAACCTCATCTATGTAAGGATTAATATTAAGTTTGGAGTTATTTCTATAAAAGTATTAGCATTACTATGAATTCACTCCAGTAGGGAAAATGTTGCAAGAGAAATTTAGAACACAAAGCTCAAAGTTGGAAAAATTGAAGGATAAAAATAATGGTCTTTCCCCTATCACATCGATCACTTTTTTTTATAGAGGGATTGACTTATGTGTTATAATTAATACGATGATTATTGTACAAAAATCACAAAGAATCTTTCAACTATTACCTTTTTATCATCTCATCTTCTTCCGGCATGAGCTTCTAATATTTTGGAACACAGCTTTGGTAATCATTCCACATCAGTGCTTCTCATGAAGCATTTCACTTCTAGCAACACACTTGTCACTTTGTTTGGACTTGAGAGGAGCTGGTGAGGACCACCTATTTGCCTCGCAATGGAGTTCACTCTTAAGGTTGCGACATAAACCTCTCCGAGTTGATTTCTTGGATGAGTTGGCCGCCCCGTCGTCGTCGTCGAGCAGCGGAGGCTAAGCATTTTGGATGAACTCTCATACCAAGTAAACTGGTCAAATTACTTGGGTAAATTGACTTGGTCGAACTATTTTGTCGGCTCGACAAATTGACCGCTTCATTCCTTGAACTCGGTCAAAGGGCTTAGTCACATGCATATGTTTATCTTCTTATTTCATTTGAAGTAAAAAAAGACAATTATTTAACTAAATGGTCAAACAATATCAAAATCCTTCTTTCTATTCTCAGCGAGAGAATTGTGAAAGTTTAAAAAAGACTCCATTAAGAGATAATGAATGGACTCTGAATTTGAAGATTTAGACTGATATATATAGTTAATATGTCCCTATCAAAAAAAATTCAAATAGACCTACATTATTTACTTGAAAAAACTATCGATTTGAAATTGAAGATATCCCAAAGATCTAAAAAATTATAGAAATCTACCCAATAACCAAAACGGACAACCACCATAAAAATAGTACTCTAATTAGGAAGGATATTTTCCTTGATTATGTTATAGCTGGCTAGTCATGCTAATAATTTCTTTAGGTTCTTTATACAGACAAAAACTTCTAAATCCTGTTAGCATTCTCTGTATTTAGTTCATGTTATTTATGTTATTTCTTAGGTTAATCTTATCTAATTTCACTTATATACATATAAATTAATAGCTTATTTGCAAAACGTGGTACTCCTGCCATCCTACTCATTTCTAAATCTACCCTACTTAACTAATCTACACATTCATTTTAAGATTCTTATTTCTATAACACTTCAACTTGATCATCAATGTATTTTTAACCACACAAAAATTAAATTCATACAACATAACTAACCCAATTATAAGTTTATAAAATATGCAAAAGATTCATGAGGACTTCCTCCTTTAATAATACAACCATAAGTTTAAAACTATATGCTCATTTAAATATCCACTCTTTCGTATGATAGATTGAATGTGCTTAAGCCTATTGAAGACTTACCTGCAACAGAAAGGAACCATTCGGAAGTGGGTATATCGTGATTAAGGGGAGACCATGCAAGGCGATCGAGGTCTCCACTTCCAGGACTGGGCATCATGGACATGCAAATGTCACTTTTTAGCAACTTGCAATTGATATCTTTACTTCTAAGAAGCTTGAAGACATTGTGCCTTTTTCTCATAACTGCGATGTTCCACATGTTAAATCATACTGACTATCAATTGGTTGATATAGCTGAAGATGGATTTGCTAGTCTTCTGGGTGAAAATGGAAACCATCAAGAACAATTTGAAGCTCCCTACGGATGAGGCTCTTCTGAAGGAGATCAAAGAAGGGTTTGTCGAGGGGAATGATCTGGTCGTCACCATGATGTCTGCAATGGGTGATATGGGCTAAAAGTAGGTTCCATCAATCACAACAAAATTGCAGTGTAATATCACCGAATTTATAGCACCTTATAATGTTGTTTGTGTAATTTGAAACTCATGGAGCCTCATCTCCTTTGGCTCAGTGTGTCTCTCATCGTCGGGCTATTTTAGTCAATTTTGGCTTTGTTATTTTTATCGAGCTTACGTTTTGTGTTCTGGATTGTGTGTTGAAGCCTGACGTATTTGTTTACTATTTGGATTGCTGCAAAAGAATAAATAAATAAATAAAACACAGGAATTGTTTTTTTCTAACAATGATGATATAAAAGTGTGTATGGCACCCACTAAAATTGGATTTCCTACACTCAAACTTTTTTATGCTAGTCTCAAGCTGCTTATCTTCAGCATCTTCTACATTATTCTAACATCTAACTTATTTCAATAGTTATCTCCTCAATTAGAACTATATCATCTAAAAAATATATCCCATTGTATCTCACTTTGATTATAATTTATATGCATTTTCATAAACAATACCAAATATATAAACTTAAAGTTGATCTTTATTATAATCCTATCATGATTAAAAACTTTTACACAAATAGTCTACTAATAAAATTAATCAATGCCCTGCATGCATATATTTAATAACTTAAGCATATCATTCACGCAATTGTTTCCCTTAAGAGCATCAAATCAGCATTGGTGGAAGTCACTAAATGCCTTACACGATCAACAAAAATAATATGAGGATTTCCTACTTGTTTTCTTTGTTTTGCCATTAATTGTTGTCATTTTCATTAATTCTTATAAAATTCCCTCCATAATGAAATTTTTTATGGCATAAAAACAAACTAAGATGTTGATATTACATAATTTTTGAGCCTATGTTGTGTTACTCTCTCAATATTTCACAGCATGATTCAAAGTTTGCCACCCCACTAAGCACCAAAATTCTAAATATCTTTAGTCTTAAACATTAAAAGCATCAGCAAACCAAAATGAATAAAACATTTAACATAATGACCAAGGAAAACGACACATACAAAGTAAATTAGAATTTGTGAATTTTCCATGCGCATCTTGTGTTGAGAGAGTGTTGAATTTTTTAATTGCTAAAGCACGGTTGTATATTATATAATTTTTCTAATGATTTGACATCATCTTTTTTAGTTAAATAAAATAATATTATTGACAAGTCCTCACATTTCAATAGGTTTATTTAGCTATATCTAAAGTTTTATCCTTACGCATCCACAAAGGTAACTCTGAAACAATTAATCCATAATAAATCAAATTTACATCATCATCTTTAACCAAGATCTTATTCTCATTATTTTTAATGCATCTACCTAGAACAAGAGGTTCCAGATCTCTAATACTTTGTCTTAGCAGAACCATAAATCTCATTTCTCCTACGTACATCAAAACTTACAGCTTTTACATGGTTTAATATTCATTCTACAAGACTTCTACTTCATCAACAGCATTACTTGTTGCCGCATTAAAAGCACATATTTTTCCTTAATAACTTTTGCTTCTCCTTCTTCTTCCAATAATGTAAGATCTATTTTCACATCATCTTAAAATTTCTACAATAATCTTCTAAATCAAAACTCATAGAAATACAATGAGCAAAAGAATAGGTCTTTTCTTGACCTGCCATGCTCAGTTGTTGTCGGCTAAGATGAGGTGGCTCACTGCAAAACTCATCATGCATTTATAAATGAATTAAGAGTTAAAGAATGAAATACCAAACTAAAAGAACTATAATTACGACAGCTTTTGGTATTCCATATTTGTAATATGTATGTGTAGAGCAGAACGAAATACAAACTTTGCTTGCCGCCAAAACTATTGAAAAAATTAGGAAACACATTAGACGCTTCTATCCCCCTTATTTGCCAACTTGGCTTAACACTTAGAATTCACAACATTATTATCACCCCTCTAATAGACAAGAAAGAAAAAAACAAGTCTAGAGAGAAGAATAAAAAAAAAGAAAACAATGGGTTATAAGGCTTGCATTAGGAATAAATAACCCATGGTTTTTTGACTTTCACGGGTAATTCAAGGGATAATCAAGAATAGGATAGACATACAATATTGCAAAAAATAAGAAGTCTTCAAAATGCAAATTGAAAGCATGCTCATGTCTTAGCTTATATCCAAAGTGCCCTCAGATAGACATGCAAGAAAAATATAAGGAATTAAATCCCATCGTTTTCATATATATATATATATATAGAGAGAGAGAGAGAGAGAGAGAGAGAGAGAGAGAGAATTTTATAAAGCACATATAATTATATCTCACGTAGCTTTATATCAAATTTAAACTTATAATTATTGAAGACATTAGTTGTGGGCGAGTTCTATTTATTTGTTGTCACATATTTATCATATATTTATTTATTTGCATCATTTAAATCATATTACAAGAGTTTTAATATTTATTGCATCATTTGATTCGGTCATTGAATCCTAAAACTCTCATCTTCAGATTTAATGGCCCGTTCGAGTTTCACAACCTTGGTTAAATATTAAAATGGAGAAATAAATTCCACAGACATGAAAGAAGAGAGCCATGGAAAATCAAAAAATGAAAATTTTATAAAATAGTAATTTAAATAAATTATAATTGTGGATCAAAACACTAGGCAACAAGGAAATATGTGATGCACAAAATTGGACTAAAATTTTTTTATTAATATGGATATGCAGTACAAAATTGGACTAAATTTATGTACATATGGATATGTACATAAAAGAGCATACTTAATATGTAAAGGCAACTAGTGTAATAGGTGTAGCGCTGATTGAAGGTAAAGTAGTTGAAAAAATTTACAGGGTTTATCCATGTACAAGATAGAACAAAAGATACGCCAATAAAGCAGATAAATAGGATTAAATGACATCAATAAAGTAGATAAATAGAATTAAATGATGTTAATAAAGTAGATAAATAGAATTAAATGATAAAGGATAAGAAGAGAAAAGGTTAATCCTAGCATAGCATTAACTTTTTCTTTTAGGCAACGGAGAACTTTTTCATAGACAATATTAACAAAAAGTTACTAAAATGATGTATGGAAGCACAGCAATATAGTAAGAAAGAACTACCTCACAGACAATAAATGTAAAACCTATTGAAGGCAAAGCAATAAAAAAAAAAAAAAATTAAAGAGTTTGATCATGTAAGAGGACAATTGATGTATCGATTAAGAAGATAAATATATTAAGTGGGAAGTATTAGCAAGGGAAAATATTAAGTTAAACATCACATGGTTAGAAAATCTAGAAAAATATAACACTCAAAGGAAAAAAAAAATTATTAATTTGGCACAAAATAATTGTGATAGAGTAAACGATTAAGATGACAATAAAATCTGGGTTGATGTATTTTAACAAGATAATAAGACATTGAAAAATAAACATCTTTTATAGGAGATCCAAATGTTGGTTTCTTCCATACCATACTTACAAAAGATAACGCATTTGCTGGGAAGGATTTCTTCTTTAAGATCAAGATACAAAAGCAAACGATGCATACAAATCTAAATCAAAACAATTAAAAGACCTAAGGCTGATCACATTGTGTAAGATGAAGTAATCGAACTTAATGTAAAAGAAAGTTGCTGGGTTCAATATAAACCATTCATAGATCAAGTACCTGCAATCTCAAATAAGCAAACACTGGCGTCTTAAGTAGGCGTATCAACTCGTCCAATTGCATCAAGAACTATACATTTATGTAATTCTCCCCCAGAGACTTGATTACATCGCTAGACTAAAAGTTCATAAAAAAGAAATTAAGCAGCCATCTAGATCCATACCTGAGCAAGCAAACACAAGCTTAATATTGCTATCGGTGAATGGCCAAGAAGAATATAAATAGAGAAATAAATCTTTTCCAGAGGGATTATTTAACGATTGCTTGAGGAGTTCTCTAAGATTTGCCAGTTCAGATGAAGTGAGTAAAATCAAATTCAGTGCCTGCACATTGAATAATACAAGTGAGCAAAATTTCAATATTGCAACACTTTCCAGTTCTTCAACTTCTTGTACAATATCTTTTTTACTATAAGAACGTAATGTCTAATGTGATATCATTCAACAAAATTAGTTATGGTTCTATGCTCCCTCATTTAGTTAAATTGAATGGAAAAAAAAAACTAATTCTACATCAATCAAACAGGGGTTTAGGTTATCTCATTCTAACAAATCTGTTCTCATCGTCTTCCTCCTCTTCTCCCTTCTCGGCAGCGGAGCACCATCTGACCGTGCAGCCTTGCTCGCCTTCCGCGACACCCTCGGCCGCACTGTACTCCGGTGGAATGCGATTTTCTCCATCTGAACAAGGCAGGGCGTCGGATGCTTACAGAACTGAGTCGTCATCATTTACCTCCCCGCCGCCGATCCCCGCCAGTACTGTTGGAAACCTCACCCCACCCTTATCCTTCGCTTTAATGGACTCTTCGTACCCTTAGATTCGTAAGATCAAGGTTTGGTATATTTCCCTCCAGATGATTACTCTCAAGGGACAGCGTCCTGAGGTGAGACAGATTCCCGAACGCTGGTGAGATCCCGCCGGTTAAGCCATTCCCAGCAAGATTAAAATGAACAAGTTTCTCCATGGAGAACAGCACCGTCGGAATATTGCCTGAAGAACGGTGTTCCTGGAAATAGACGTTGGCGGCGCCGGAGAGGTCCGATGGAGGCTACAGGAGAGGCCATTAAAGCGGAGGCTAAGGGTACCAAAAGCAGTGAGGTTACTACCGTACGGGCGAAGATCTCGCTCATGAGACCGACGGCAGAGAGGCGAACGATGACACGATGACGACTCGGTTCTGCAAGCATCTGACGCCAGGTCACGTGCAGGGGGAGTTCGTCGCGTTCGAGGAAAGCGAGCAAGACTCCAGGTCGGAGTTAACATCTGGTGCTCCGCCGCCGAGGAGGGAGAAGAGGAGGGATCTTAAATGTATAAAATATTTTGAAATGAGTCATTATATTCAATTCTGATAAAATGTTTGCCTCCATTTTACACTGCAAGGAAAAAAAAATCATTTTCATTATTTTAAATTTATAAATTAATTTTGGGGTATATCAAAATTTTAAAAGTTTTAATAGCATTGTTATGCTTATAATATTTTAAAATATATTATAATTTGTATAATAAGAATTGCTTTAATAATATTATTATTATTAAATGATAACTTTAATTATTAACACGTCAAAATTTTAGAAACTTGATTTTATTCGAAGATATTAATTAATAAATTTTGATGAAGTGAAAAAATAGCCTCAAGTTATTTAAATATAGTTTAGTACTGCATTAAAATAATTCTCGACTGTTGTAAAATTGAACTCTAATCTACTATTTTGGTACTAATTTAAAGTGCGAGCATTATTTTGATATTTCTATGAATTCTAGACCAAAATGATGAATATAAATTATTAGGAATTATTTTGACATTTTACTCAAACTTTAATATCAATGTATATGCAAGATGACAAATTTTAAATAAGTTATATGAACTTTAATTATTTAATTTCAGCATTATTAATTTAATTTAGGCAAAATTTGTTATTAATTAAGGGTATGTTTGGGACAGCTGTAATTTATTGAATAATATGTTGATAAGCTGATGATTAAAAATAATTTGTTGATAAGTTAGTTGCGGTGACTATTACACTTTTATTTTTTTTGAAAAAATCAGACCGTTGCCAATAAGCTCTCACCGCACCTAAATAGGTGCGATGTGAAATAGTTGTTTTCTATGTTCTGAAAATGCATATGCTGCCAAAACACAGTTTAACCAAACAGGTTAGGTGCATTTTCAAAGCGCCACCGCACCAAATAAACTGACTCAAACGGGCCCTAAGTGAAGATTAAACGTTGCGCCTCTCTTTTAAGCTTGAGGGTTAATCATTAGAACAGGCGTGCATTAGGAAAGAGGGAAAAACAATTAAGCGGTTTGGAATAAACATAACTTTATTTAACAAAAAATGCATAAAAGGGTGCTAAATATTATTTTAGCTTACATTTGATTTATAATATTTTTTGGTTTAAATACGATTTTGATGAGATGGATTATGAGAACTAAATATAATTTTTAATGAACTTCTGATGCTGTTTTCTACAGTTCGCTGTGGTGTACAGGTTACCATAGAAGATGCATTTGAACAAGTTATTTCATTATGGTTATCTGCTTGTCCCATTGATTTAGATCTCAATAATTTTTTTTTTAAATTAAATATTTACCATAAATTCTTATATATTTACATATGAAATACTTATATTTACTTGCATAACAACTTAATATTAAAATTAAATAAAAAAAAATATATGCATAAAAATATGTATTTCAATTTAAATAAGTATTTTTTAATATAATTTAAATATTAAAATCCTACAGAGGTAAACATAAATATTTAGTGTTAATATGCACAGCGGTGTAAATGTAAATAAAAAGAACAGCTGCTGCAACTCGTGTGCTCAGCGCTGGGCTTTTATTGTTCCTTGGGCTGGTTGAATGGGCAACTTATCCAGCTGTGCCTCCGTCCAATTGTATCATAGTTACACGAGAGTGGTCTCCTTAAAAATATCACTGTTTCTGTTCGACTCAATTCTATTTCGAGCACAAAAAAAAAATACATAAGAAATTCAGAAAATCCCCGGTGGAGTGTGTGCAACGGCCTGGATATCCGGATGTGTGGACAACGGCCTGAATGCACCGGTGGAGTGCGGGAATCGAACCTCCGCCCTCCTCGCTGCATCCCGGCCGTTGTCCACACATCCAGATGTAATAATTTTTACTTGTCAGGAGGACAAAAAATTGAAAACAAAGCAAAATAGCAGATTGAGCAATGAATAAATAATAGCTCTCGCTCGCTTATGGATCAATCATACAACCCTCTCTATTCACATAACCATCCCTGCCAAAATAAATACAGCAGAGAGAATAACAAATGAAATAAACAAATTATTACAAGCCTAACAGATTCCTTCTAATGAAGATGATCACTGCTGCCAACTGCCAATCAGCACATTTAATATAATGCTGGCATTGGTTTTAATTAATTTATGATGGGGCCGCAAAATAAACGCCAGTGTCGATGAAAGAAGAAACACTAACCAGGACTATGCCCAGATGATCTCGACAAAGAACGGGCGACGCGTTCAGGTGCTGGGTTCGAACGCTGGCGTTCCTCAGATATTGGTATCTAATAAATAATGAATATGTTTACTTATTAAATAGAATAGTTATAGAAAAATGCATAATTAAGGTGAATTTGAATGTAAACCTTCATATTTTATATACAAGGAAAATTGACAGACGTGGCACACAATTCTTATATATTTACATATCTCACATCTAAACTTTCATATTTATAGACATAGCACTTTGGCGTTTTAACCCTATCCATAAAAAGGTTCATTTCACTTTTAAAAAGTACTTATGGTGCTATTTTTCACGCTATATTAAAAATATGAGTGCTATGTGTGTACATATGAAAGCTCAGGTGTGAGATATGTAAATAAATAAGAATTGTGTGCTATGTATTTCAGATGCCCCAATATATAATTATATTGGATTTTTCTCAAATCTAGCGCAAATCGGCACCAACTCCTTGTAACTTTACAAGGTATAATGATTTGGAAGAGCTTACATACCTGAGATGAATTAGCCGCCGAAGAACTGTGGAGTGATTGCTGCGATTCAGAATGCTTCCTATGCAGATATTGCATGCGCTGAAACTGTTGCAGCTTAGACACAAAGTCGATTGAGTCATGCATACCACCCATATTATAGTTGCCGCCATCTGTTATCTGTACAATTCGTGAATGGGGGCTCCCTGAAGATGTGCACGCGACTTGGTCAGCCATGATATCATGCGAACGCATAGATTTTAATCTAGTCTTCAACATCTTGAATGCCACGCTTTGCTGCATGGCCGAAAATCAATTCAATCCTGATGTAACATAAAGGTCGAATTGCAACAAATACAATAAAACTTGAAGGTAAGAGAAGAAATTAATTTCAGAGGTCACCATGGAATATGACACCAACACTCCAAAGCATATAATATATCACTTAAATTGTAGTTTTATAAAAATTAGGGGCATTTACATACATAGCACACAATTCTTACGTCTAAAAATCTCACACCTAAACTTACATATTTACATATAGCAATCAAATATTTAAAATCACATACAAAATAGTACTATTACCATTTTTTTAAAAGTGAAATGCATATTTTCATGCATATATTTAAAGAACCAAAGTGCTACGTATGTAAGTATGAACGATTAGATGTGAGATATGTAAATACATAAAAATTTTGTGCTGCGCATGTTTTTAAGATATTCTCTTATCATGTAGTATTGTTGAAATTAAATTAGAGAAATGTCCTTGTGTTATTGTGTGGAAATAATATAACACATTGTGATAACTTTAAGCATCATGTGTATGTAAACATGTCTTCCAAAAGATACGTTGTTAGAAAAGTGAATTACTATAGATAATCACTTGAATGTAAGATACAAGTCTGGCAAGCTTTTCTCAATTACCTAAGATGGTCTAAGGTTGTTACACATTAGATGGCCAATAGAGTAATTGGGTGTGCAAGTGCTTATAAGCCCAATAATGCATGGCGATAACAAAAATGCACCAGTTATATTGATTACATGATATCAGAATTGAATCATGGAAATGACCCATTCCTTAATTAAAGCCTCCCTGAACCGCCTTAGTCGCGATCTCTTTGCTCTCCCTTGGATGATTGAACCTTGTCTTCTTGTTTCACCTTGATATGACCTCCTTTAATACTTAACAATCTCTAGAGGATGTAAGGAGAATGTGCAATTCAGAGGGCAGAGAGAGAGATTTCTTGGGTTTGGACCTTGTGGGCAATAGGGAGTAAGAGAGAGGGTGAGAGATAGAGAGACAATGGTTGAAAGGATCACTTAAATGAATTTTTCATTGATTCAAATAAATTAAAAGTATCCATTTGTAAAAATAAATAAATAATCTAGAGTTGAAATGTACAACTCAAACACGTGAAAATTGCAGTCAAGAATTAGGAATTAATTTATCAGAAGTTGAAAAATACTTCAATAATAGGGATCATAAATTAGTCCCCTGTCAATCTACCTTGCATAGCTTGTCTAATGAGAAATAATTGGTTTGTACCATTCTTTTAGCTTAATTTTGATTGCTCTAATTTGAATTATTTCTATATAGATAGACAACCCCACCTCTTATCACAGAATTGAGACTGAATGTGAATATTCCCTCTATAATATTCTTTTGATGTCATTGAACATTCAAGAAAGTGTTAGACTCTTTTGGAAATATTTAGAAGAGGTGCTAAATATTTCTTTCTTATTGAGGCTTGCCATGAATTTTCTATTTGAATCCTTCTGAATCATTATCCCTTCACGTTTATATTTTAGGTTAACGCATTGCATACTATTTTATTTTGGATCGAATAACCACCATGAATTATCTCATAACTCATCCTCAAAACTACTATACATATGATAAGGTTGTCTACATAGACAAATGTTTGTTTCTTCAAAATTTTATGCTCTTTTCATATCTTGACATGCCAAATTACTATAATAAAAATCCCAATCTCTAGCATTTTAAGCATCAATGTTCATCCCTTGGAATCGAGAAGTTCGGGAAGCCAGAGAGGGGGTAGAAGAAGCGGTAGGGTTGGGAAACCGAACATGTAAGTTCGCCTATAAATTGACGCGGAAGAGGGATTGAGAGATAGAAGTAACCTTAATGACTTACCTGAAGGGTGGGCAGCTCTTCGACGGTGTCTTCGCCGATCGAAGGAAGATGAGAGAGAGGAAGCTCGCAGGATGTGCGAACGCTAAGGAAGAACTGTGTGTGAACTAAAGCCGAAGGAAGAGGAAAGCACGAAGGGAAGAAGGAGTTCAATCAAAGCAAGCTCGTGTGCGATCCAAATCTCACAAAGAATGGGGCGACGTCGAGTGTTCTCACGTGCAGAGAATGGAGAGGACGAAGGTCAAGCGGCTCACGTTTGATTGAAGGAAGGAGACCATTGGGTTAGGGCTAACCAAGGTAATGTTTATGGATTTAATAATAAACTTAATAATAATAATAATTAAATGGGATTATATAAAGTAAAATACAAAAATTTTATACATAATAATGAAAATTAATAGATAATCAAAATAATAATTTATATACTATGTTTATGATAGGTTGTCAATTAATCAACGTCAAGAGCAAGTGGATTATCTTTAATGAGGTAAGTACTTTTATTTTTAAATCATGGTAACAATGTTATATTTCTTCTAAATCATTTGCATTAGAATGTCATTAGTAAAGATATTGAACTTTTAAAAGAAATTGGGATGAGTGATTGTAGGCTTGCAAACACTAACTGTTCCCTATCAGAAACTGAGATAGAAAAAAAAACCCAGTGAATATAGTTAGTATCAAAAGTTGGGGGGTAAATTGATATATTTATCAGATATACGACCAGATATTGCATTTGTTGTGAGCTTGGTAAGTCAATTTATGCATTCATCCTACGAGAAACAACTTGAAGCAGTTAATAGGATTATCATTATCATATATCTATCAGAAGACCACACAACAAAACAAAGGCATACACTAATGCAAATTGGGCGGGCTCAGTTATTGACATGAGATCGACTTTGGGATACTGCACTTATGTTTGGAAAATCTGGTTACATGACGAAGTAAGAAACAAAATGTGATTGCAAGGAGTAATGCCTGACATAATATGGGGTTATGACTAATGGAGTATGTGAGATGATGTGGTTGAAGAGAATTCTTGAAGAGCAGTTGATCTCAATAAACATGTCTATGAAATTGTAAAGTTACAATAAAACAGTCAACATGATCGCATAAAGCATATGGAGATTGAAATGCACTTAAAAAAAAGGATTGACTATGGAGCTATTTGCATGTCGTTTATACTTGTTGCTCAATAAATAGTAGATATCATCATCACAGGATTTTTCAAGTCTAGACATAAGATAGTTATAAGCAAGTCGGGCATGACAAATAATTGTGCTCCAACTTCAGGGATGATGTTGGATTTTAGGAAAGTTCTAGCTTTATTATCTTTATTTTTGGTATTTCCTATTTTCAGAATTTGCTATTATTGAAAATGTGTAATTTCTATTTTCTTTTTCTAGTATGGGATTTTGTGGCTTTCTTAATTTAGAAGTTTTCCCCTGTTATTTATCTTGTAAATGTTTCCTATTAAATTGAGGAGGAATAATTATTTTAATCTTCCAAAAAATCAAAATGTAATATCAAACCTCAACAATTCACATTTGAAGGCTACTAATCAAGTGACTAGAACATAAGATCATGAACTTGATAACAACCGTGATTACTGTCAAAGCTCATGAGCCATGAATGAGATAGCCCAATAACTAAATGGCAGAAAAACGTACATGAGCTTGATGGTGATTGTTGGTGATAGTTGAAGATATTATGTCGGAACGAGTTATGCATGATTTCAAAAGATTCGATCAAGGACATGTGAGTTCTCAATATTAAAGAAGTGTGACCATGGCTAGGGAGAACAAAAGCGTCGAACAAGATAACCAATATGATCACTCTCATGAACAAGAATGTATCATGGCAAAAAATATCGGTTTAGAATTTTTTTTCAACTTTGATACCGTTTGGCGGGAAAATGACTGTGAAATAGCAAGGTAATGAAATATGAGAGTATGACGACATTTGAAGGGGGGATACATTACAACCTATTGTAGGCCAACAGCTGGAGGAGTTCAACGGTTGTCTAGATTGAAAACAGTTGTCGAACAACGAAATGATGCGCTGTGGACATTGAGGGGGGGTCCATTCCCTAGTCCTAGGCAAGATACAAACACACTGTTTGTAAAAGGAAATGATATAGCACTCCAGAGAGCATAAAAACAAAGATTAAACTCTCAAAATACATAAACCGAATATGATACTATTCTAGGGCCAAGGAAGTATTTGGAAAGCGATTTACGCGTGGAGGATTTCGCGCCGGGGGGGTTGTTGGACAAATAGTTCGACAACTATCTTGGCCGAAATCGACAAGTTGGGCGGCAAAACAGTGAGATACTGGTGGCTAGGAGGTTCCACCGCCTGCTCCTAAATAAGATACAAATCCATCACTTGCAAAAGGAAGAGAATACAATGCTCCTCAGAGCAAAATTCAAAGAAACATTTGTCAATCCATGAGGCCAGAAAATTGAAATCCCAAATAACCTATAACAATATTAACATAAAAGGTCGCTCATAAAAAAAAGCCTAAATCATGACCCGATCTAGAGCTTTGAATTAATCAATATGAAAACAAACAGTCAGAAGGTATAAATCAAATTTTTTATTTTTATTTTCCACCACTATTCATGTTTCAAAAAGATAAATCAAAGATACAACAACAATAAACAACAACAAAGCCTTAATCCCACTACGTGGGGTCGGCTACATGAATCCTTTTTCACCATTGCGTCCTATTTAGTGTCATATTTTCATTTAGTTCTAGTAAATTAAGATCATTTTTAATACAATAAGCCCAAGTCTTCCTAGGTCTACCTCTGCCTTTCTTAACACAAGTCGAATTTAAAACATCTACTCTCCTAATCGGATCATCTAATGGTCGACGTTTAATGTGACCAAACCATCTAAGACAACTTTCTCTAATTTTGTCCCACCTAATCATTCTCATCTCGGCAACACTTAACTTATTATTATGCTTCTCTTTTAAAGGCCAACATTCAACACCATAGAGAATTGCCGGTCTCACCACCGTCTTATAAAATTTTCCTTTCAGTCTTAGCGGTACTTTTCTATCACACAAAAGGCCCGAAGCATTCCTCCACTTCAACCAACCAACTTGAATTCTACTATTAACATCCCCATCTATATC